GGTAGCGCCAAAAGCACCCCATGTTCAGCCCCTACCAAATAAGGCCTAGCCTACATTTCTTTTTCAACATCAATCGCAGCATCAATTCGAATCCGCCCACACGCGTTTTAATCGATTGGCTAGTGCATACCCCTGGCCCCTGCCCTCGCTTTCACGAGTGACCTCCCCACTGTAGATTATTTAATCCGTAGGGGCTTGGGGAACCAGAAGCACGCCATAGAAGCGGCAGCCGCGCGGGTGCTGCAAATGGAATGGCTTTGACTCGTAATGCTGACAAATGGGTCCCATCGGCGCTCGCTCTGTGGCACTCAAGCGCGATCAATTCAGCGCGAAAGAGCCGTACCAGCTTGCACCTTTGCGGCAACGCGCTTTCCCGCCAATCCAACATCACTTGATGGTTTGATGGTACCTGATGGGCACGCAGCCTGTAGGCCGCTGAGCGCACGCGTGTGCCGCCGCCCATTCCAACGTTCCACCTCGCCCTGCTTTTGTCCCGCGCGGCGTGCGACGGCGCGGACCGGACGTCGGTGTTTGCGCGCAAAGGCAACCGCCGACATGAAAAGATGTTGGGCGGGGTAATGCAGCCTCGTCCAATGGATGCAACGGTGGTTGAGAATCGTGTTGGCAGAGCGCGCCGCACCTGCGTGGCACGCTCCAATGCCCTCGGCGGACACAACAAGTCGGTTGAGTTAACTCGGGAGAGGTCCGAACCAATCAGCCTGGCCGCCGGCCGCAGGCTAATGCAATGCGGGAGGCCTACCAACCCCAAGGGCTTGCTCGTTTCGGGGGAACATTGCGGCAGGACATTTTCACACATGGACAGCGGTGGGCAATCAAGGGCTTCACGCAACGTAGACATTATACTTGTTTATTTTCTACAAGCCATCGACCCACGGAGGGTATCGACAGCACTTCATCCATGACCGTATGGTACGACCCCCCATCACACCCAAACCCAGATTGCAGCACAGCCTAGGCCGCGGCGGTGGGCAGGCACTTGCATGCCGAGCTGACGCGCGAGATGACGTTTGTGCCGCAGGCCTTTTGCGCGTACTCGGGCACGACGGCGACGTCGGCGACGTACGTCTTGGTAAACTCGCCGCAAAACTTCTGGCTCTCCTCGAGGCGGCCGGCCGTCGAGGTGGAGCGCATGGCGCGCAGGCAGTTGTCGGCGCTGCAGCCCTGGGGCTTGCAGCGGGGCTTGCTCGTCATCTTAACGACGAAGGCGCCGCGCTCGATGGTGTTGACGAAAATGAAGCCCGACTTGAAGTAGGCGTAGCTGGCCCAGCTGCCGCTGAACTGCACCGCGCCGCCGCCGGGCTCGCTGTCGTCCTCGGGGTAAATGTCGAAGAAGGCGACCTCGCACACGCTGCCGCCAGTGGGGTCCTGCGGGATCGAGGACACGTCGTACACGCGCAGGCCGCTGGTGTAGCTGCTCTGGTACGAGAAGCCGTCGATGACGTACTGGTTGTGGTCGATACCGCGCTGTGGGGGGTACAAGGGGCAACAGTCAGCTACACATATTCTTTTTGTGGGTTGGCTGCGAATTTAGGCACGCGGCAAGTTCTTACCTGAGTGGCCTTGTACAAGCCGGTGTTCTTGGGTTTCTCAAGGTCGCGGATGTCCCAGATGTAGGTAACGGGGTACTGGTCGAAGCCCGGGCCGGCGACCTTGTCGAACTCGTCGTACTCGTCGTCCATAAGCAGGTACTCCTGGTTGTTAGGGTCCAGAACCCAGCCCTGGTGGGTGTAGGAGAATCCCTCGTACGAGGTGCGCGAAATGATTTTGGACGCGTTCTTGTCGGTCACGTCGTAAATGGTGAGGGTGTCCTCGTTGTAGCCGTAGCAGATATCCCTGCCGACGTACTTGGTATGCGGGCCGCGGTAGATGAGGCACTGCGCGTCGTGGACGTACTGGTCCTGGGGGTCGCATGCGATCTGCTTGGGGTTGGCAGGGTCCTTGAGGTCGAAGAAGATCAGACCTCCGGCGCAGCCGCTGGTGCGGGGGCGGGCGCCGACGGCAACGCCGTACTCGGCCTCCTCGTTGGAGAGGACGTTGTGGCTGGCTCCGATGGGCAGCCCGGTGAAGTGGCCGGTCAGGTCCGGGGTGCCAAAGGTCTTTGGGGCTTCGGCGTCGGTGACGGCCAGCAGCTTGGCCATGTCGAAGATCTGCACTCCGTGGCCGCTCTGCTCGCTGCCGATGAGCATGTAGTGCTTGTAGCCGCGGATCTCACGCCAGAGCGAGTTCTCGCTCAGGGTGCCGAACGTGGGCAGGAAGCCGACGTGGCGCATCTTGCCGGTGGGCAGGATCTCGATGAAGGACGTGCCCTGGAACAGACCGGCGGCGATGAACTCGCGGCCCGAGACGGGGTCGGACCAGCCCCAGGTGGAGCTTCCGACCTCGCCGCCGGCGGTGCCCCGCGGGGAGCCGATGGCGGCGTGGGGCAGGAAGTCGTAGAGGTCCGTGTTCTTGCACCTGAACGTATGGAGCGGGTCGCCAGGGATGGCGGCGGCGACACCGTTGACGCACTTGGTGTAGTTGAGGCGGGGCCAGACGCTTGAGTCCATCACGCCGGCGCTCTTCTCAGCGCGCCAGTGGCTCTATTCGACATAAAACAGGGTCAGCGGAGTTCACCTCGGCCAACCGACAAACTTCTTCAACGAGGCGCTTCTACTTACCATTTTCAAGTCCATGATGTGCTCGTGGATGGCACCGCTGTCGTAGACTTTGGCGCGCTCCATGTCGGGCTTCATCTCCTTGGCGACCGCGGCGGCGGCAGTGAGGGCCACTGCGCCCGTGATCTGGTTGATCCTCATGCTTGCGGCGGGAGGACGCGAGGTCCGGCGGCGTTAGACCAAGCGAATGGACTAAGGGGACGGAGGATACCAAGGCAACGACCTCGGGCGAATCACAGACCAAAAGGCGAGGAACGCAAAGAGAAGGCGGGGGGTTGGGAGGGAAAGGGCAGAGGAGGCGACACCGAGGCATGGCGGGCGGAACACGGGCGCTTTTATGGCGAAGCAAATCTCCCCATAGGCCAAGACATGACCTGCCACCCAAGACGTTGTGCTCGGCCGGGCTCAGGGGCGTGCTACCGAGACCCTGGGGCCCGATATCTGGGCCCGATATCTCGTGGGCGGCCGCGTGTGCATTGCGACACGGGATTAGTACGGCGACAGTGAACCGAAATCCTGCGTCTGCAAATTGCGACGTCAACAACAGTGCCAGAATGGGAAGGAGAAGGGAGGCTTGGCATGCCAAGTCAAGAGGTGTGGACTCATTGGTTGGGATCCCACCATGGAACCTCAGGAACCAGCCTCCTTGCGGTAGGTGCACGACACTGGGCATTCAAGGGCCGCAGACTTGGTAATCGGCTTCGTGCCGGGAGTGGTTGGCGAATGGCGTCTTGTCTGTCCCATTAGTTGGGCAACTCTTCCATGCCCGTCTGCTTCAATGAGGTTTGTACTCACCGCGCGCTGCTCTCCTCCATTCACGACGGCTACCGCAACCGCTCGGCACTTCAGCCCAATGGATCAAGCTTATCCCGAATAACACTCTCCATGGCGAGCACGGGCGACGGGGCCGGCCTAAGCGACTGAAGCTCAAGCTTAGGACAGAAGGAGCTTTGAGATAGCAGCGGGGTATTGACGTCTTGGCTCTTGGCATACAGCCGGCGCTAGCAAGCTTCGGGCAGGTCCTCGTGGAGGGGCACATGCGGGGAGGTGGGGCCTACGAAAGCGGTTGCATTGCGGCTGACGCTCCCGGGCGGCACAGTTTTTGGTGCTGAGGTCGGTGGGGTGCTGGTGCCAGTAAAGCCATTCTCGCCTCGCCGCCTGCGCCGTGCCGGTATCCGCGCACTTATAAGCTCCCGTCGTTCTGAAAGCTTGTCAAGTGAGCATGGGCGCGGTGCCAAGGTTGGACCCCGCCCACCCGTGAAGATTGGTGCGAACCTTGATGGCACCAACTAACCGCCTCGTCGCGAAATTGCTCGTTGATGCGCCTATTTTCTCGATGGCGCGACATGTAGACTGTAATCACCCTTTCGGCGATTGTTGTGACTGTCTGCTCCTCGTCTCTCTTTGATCCATGCTGTCATTCCCGCCACCTTGTCCAATCAGTACTCAACCCATGCCCCAGGAATCGCGCACAGAGGCTCCTCTTCCACGGAACCATCGCCCTCTTCTTCCCGTTCCACCATCGACCAGAACTCTCCCACCAGGCCATCGGTGTGCTGCGACCACCAGAACTTCCAGTCTTCTGGCCGGGGGCCACCTTTGACACTTATTAACCGCACATCCGGGAGCGGCACCTCATCTTTGTAGTTGGGCCTAAAGATATATTCCCGTTCCCAGTTCCCGCCCATGAACTGTTCCACCACGGTTTCCCAGCCACGTCCACTGATTCCGCTCGTGTTTAGCATGAGTTTAAACCAAGCGTAGATTAGCTGATCAAGGCAGTCGGCGGACACCGGTTGATACTTTTTGTGGTCGTACCAGCATCTCTGTAGCATCGCCTTGCAGTCCAATAGGATCTCTCGAGAGGTATCTCCATAATGCTCTCGCATTTTGTTGGAAATGAGGTCTCTGAAGAGCTCGCAATACGCAGCGAAAACCTCGATTGGCTGCCACCACATGTGCCAGAACTGGTAGTTCATCTCATTGATGACCTCGAGATAAATATCGTAACTTTTTGGCCGCAATGGCTTTGAGGTGTCCAGGATACCACCAAGTAGCTGTCTGGCTTGGTCGATAATCCAAAGGCACGGTTCGAATTGCAACACAGTGTCGACGAGTGCCGCTTTGAACGACTGCTCTCTATCGTCGACAAAGAAAGCCCCCAAATCATTGTCGTCTAATGTCGACTCGATGACGGCTTTATACGCTTGAAGAATTTGCTCCGGTCGGGAACCTGTGCGTGACTCCAGGTAGAAGTCCACAATGGGAGTGCCATACCCAATCGGTTTGGAATACATGCGGCGTTTCCTGTGGTCTCTTTTTTCCGAGGGAGGATGAGGGCCACGGCTCTAGTTAGCGGGCGAACAGATTAGCCGTCAAGCAGGGATCGAGGTGAGTCGCAGGTCTAAAACCTAGGGCGGCTTTTATAATATACCGTCGAATTGCGCAAAATGATTAGTCGACCTGTATCCGCCCCGTGGTTCAACAGGAATGCGAGGACATCCCATTGTCTCTCCATAATCGCTACCTAAGCATTTGATGTCAGCGACCGGAGTCTTGCGATACATACAAGCTTTTTCACTCACCGCAGCCAATGTGACCTCTCTGCACGACCGGGCAGTTGAAAGTAGATCCCGCGGTCCTAGCTCGCGCGTTTGGAACAGTCGGCGGAGTTTTGGAATGTCACCGGCTCTAATCGTGTTTATAATGACCGTGGAAGCCGTCAAGTTATGCGAGCGGTATGTCGTCATGTGATGGAGCCATCCTGTCGTAGAGTGCGTGATGGAACTTTCTATGACGAGGTTACAAATCCACTGTGGGAGCTGGACTTTCAGCCAGAAAGGGTCGTTCTCGGCGTGATACCCACCTCTCGTGGCCCCTGGACAGCGAGGGCACTGGCAGTGACGAGAGGGGAAGTGTACCTCGACACATCCAGTGAGCTGAGCCAGCCCGATTCGGCGGGATGACCCTAAAAGGCGAGGCGACCGCATCCCACCCGGGGACAAACTACACTGTTTAGACGAACGGGTCTCCTTGAGAGTCGCATATGCAGTGGCTTCCTGTCCATTTCCAGCATCAGGAGCTTCCAGCATCCGTCCTTTTCCGGTACCGGGGTGGCCCATTAAAGCTCCTGCGTTAGGTACACGGATCTCAACACGAAGTTGCTGCACCAGTGTCCTTTGGAGGGTGACGGCCAGTTAGTTCGCAATTAATGCCTTTCCGCCTATGGACGCGCGTCGTGCAAAATGCCTTGCAGCAATTGGCAGACACTCACATGATGTACGAGAGCTTGGCTTGCATCAAAAAACCGCTCGCCCGGGCCAGGCGAGCCTCATGCTGAGCCAAGACATCCTTCTTGAGCACAATCTTTAGAGTTGCAAACCGGCGCCGGGCGCTTCCGCGACCCTGGGCCTTCTCGAGCTGCGCGTGAAGCTCCCCCGCCACGCCCTGTAGCTCCTCCAAAACCTTTTGACAGTAGGCCTTGGAAAAGGCGAGAACCGCTGCGGTTTGGGGCGGGATGTCGGCCTGGTCGTCGATGGGGATGGCTAGGCTAAGATCTGCGACATGGAGCTAGATCAAGTCGATGGTGTCGCGCAGCGACGACGGCGCGCCGTCGAATTGCTCGTAGAGTTTCTTGATCTTGATCCCTACATCGACGATCTGGACCGCGAGCCCGCACCCACCGGCGATGATGCTGAATGGATCAGACATGACGTGGAGCAAGCGAGATCAAGCGGTGGCTTGTGGTATTGGAGGCTTCTTGTTCGGGTTGCAATCGCTGAGGGGTACGATGTTGCAGGAATGAGAGGGAGAAAGCGCGGGGAAAGCGACGAAGCCCAAAAGAAAAAGCCAGGGCGAATGGCAGTCATCGTTTGCGGCTGGCGGTATGCGGTCTGCAGGGTAAATGCCTTGGACCATTTGTGGTGGTCAGGCTGTGTGGCTGTACTTTGTATGCCCAGCCGGTATTGATGCGCCCAAGGCGGAATCACACCCCGGAAATATCATTAGGGCACTACATTCGGTGTACAGCGCCGGCATCGGGGCGATTGGTGTCGTTGCACGAGCCGTCGCCATCTGGTCGAGGGGTTTTCCGGCACGACAAAAAGCGCGCTCTCTACTTGCCCTCGTCCTGAGGGCTTTGAGGGCGTGTAGGCGAGGACAAGGTTTAACCCTGCCGTGCTTGGAAGTCTTTGCCGGTAGCTCATATTCCTGATGGAACGGCCCTTGCCGTCAGCTTTCCATCATGGTATAGATGCCGGAGAGTAAAATGGAGGCGAGAGGTAACTAGTGGTGGATTTGTAATCTCGCCGACGGGAAGGGGAGAGATTTGACGGTATAGTCGAGGGCTTCTGGATAGGGATATAAAGCGATCGGAAATCACCCTTTGCCAAGGTCCCGACCTGGGACCCACCCACGGCTGAGGACCCCCCAACCAGTACGGCAATCGCGAGGGGCAACTGTTCGCCGGCTGCAACGGAACAGCGCCACCCTATAAGGCCGTCGCCCGCCCGCCGGGGCATCACCGACAGGGGCCGGACCGCGCCTTCTACGAGGCCATCAGGACCAAGAGCGGCGGCAAGTAGAAAGACGACGCCGGCGCGCTGTGGCATTGCGAGGCACGCGCGCGGTCAACAGCAGGGACTTGGTCTTGTGCCCTCGAGAAGTTTTGTGTCCCTGCACGGCTGTTGCTACTGACATCTGGGCCCGAGGTCTTTGGCACTTTTCTTTGTCTGTCCTTTCTGTGTGAGCTATTGTAGTTTACCGAACTGCCTGGCGGGCGGACCATCAGCCGCACCCCACCCACACGCAAACTCATATTTCAATTATCAGCCTGCCCCTGGGCTATATCATGTCTGCAGCCGCCTAGAGAACGAAGGGCTTGGCCAGTTGCCCTTCGGGGAAAGACGTAGCGTTGTCTTCTATCCCGGCGTCCAGATTTCCCTCCAATGGGGTGAGGTCAATCGGGAGTTGTTTACCCCAGCCCGGCAGTCGTGGATCCACAGCGGCTGCTTGGCATCCAGATGAGCATCTCCCGCCGCTCCAAAGCGGCATCTCCACGATGGCGACATCACCCCCGCCGCAGATCCTCGCCCGATCTTGAGTGCGGGGCGGGAACTAGCAGCCAGCGGCGCCATGCGCGCCCCCCACCAAAAACCGTTCGTCCCCGGAAGAATTATGGCTCGCCGCCCTCCCCCTCCACCACGCAGCTGGGATTGAATATAGATCCTCCTGTAAGACTCGCGCTTGGCTGTGATCAAGTGTTCGCCGTGGCGCGTTTGAAACATGACCGGCCCACGTCTTCGATTCTCAGCACGCCCGGCGGGAGGGGATGGTATCCATCCATCTCCAGGATGGGTTGACGCGACCACGACAGTCGACATTCCGCCAAGTTCTAAAATGTATAAAAGGAAGGCCATGGCTAGCATTCTGTGGCTGTAATGCTTACCTATGCCACAAGCCCTCACCGCATCCGACCCCAGACAAGCCCACCTCGCCACCACCACTTCCTAGACCACCAAAATGCGCTTCGCCAGCATCGCCCTCCTCCTCGGCCTCGCGGTCGCCTCCCCGGTGCCCGAGGAGCACGAGCTCGCGCGCCGGCAGGCGTCGCAGGCGTGCAACCTGGGCTTCTGCACGCAAAACGGCGGCACGACGGGCGGCGCGGGCGGGTCGACGGTGACGGTGCGGACGCTGTCGCAGCTGCAGGAGGCGGCGGGGCGGTCCGGCCCCCTGACCGTCATCGTGTCGGGCTCCATCTCGGGCTCGGCCAAGGTGCGCGTGGCGGCCGACACGACCATCTACGGCGAGCGCGGCAGCTCCCTCAACGGCGTCGGCCTGTACGTGCGCCGCGTCAAGAACGTCATCATCCGCAACATGAAGATCTCGGGCGTCAAGGCCTCCAACGGCGACGCCATCGGCATCGACGCCTCCACCAACGTTTGGGTTGACCACTGCGACCTGCGCGGGGACCTCAACGGTGGCAAGGACGACCTCGACGGGCTGCTGGACGTGTCCCACGGCGGAGACTTTGTCACCGTGTCGTACACGTACTTCCACGATTCGGTAAGTTTGTAGTACAGGTGTCCAACAAAACCATCATCGACAAGACTCACCCGCTAACGCGCACCCCCTTTCCCACCCGCAGTGGAAAGCCTCGCTCGTCGGCCACAGCGACAGCAACGCCAGCGAGGACCGCGGCAAGCTCCGCGTGACGTACGCGCACAACCACTGGAAGGACGTCAACGCGCGCACGCCGCTCGTGCGCTTCGGCACCGTCCACGTCGTCAACAGCTACTACGAGGGCCTCAAGTCGTCGGGCATCAACACCCGCATGGGCGCCCAGGTCCTGGTCCAGAGCACGGCCTTTTCCAACAGCAACAGCAAGGCCATCTTCTTCGCCGACTCGAGCCAGACCGGCTACGCCGTCGCCGAGGACGTGTCGCTCGGCGGGTCGCAGAACACGGCCCCGAGGGGCTCGCTCACGTCCTCGTCGCTGCCGTACCGCATCTCGGGCATCGGCTCCGGCAGCGTCGCGGGCACTGTGCCCGGCCAGGCTGGCCAGCGGCTGTAAATTTCTTGTCGGCGAGACCTAACCATGACCGGTATTCGGTGGATTCTGCACGATTTCGACCGCTTCGACTTTGCGGTGGCTATCTTTTGGTGTGAATATTTCTCTCTCCTTCTTGCGTCCATATTGCCTTTTGTATATACTTCTCTCAACCCTCCTTGCAGCCTCCCAGGATACAAGTATTACATACCTTGGTAGATAGGTACCCTTTTAAGCCGATACTGTTTCGTCCTTCTTCTTCAACCGTGGGAACATGAGCCATGAGACGACAACCAATGCCAGTAGCCCCAGCACAATTGGATGGAGAACTTCTACACCCTTCTGCCCAGCGGCAGCACCAATAATCTGCATGCTCCCGTGTCAGCTGCGACAGCCTCCCAGATGTGGGAGAACAGGATGTAAGATTTGGGTTTGCTCACAAAAGGAAACACTGTCCCGCCGGATCCGCCCATGGCCATGCCGAAGCCGAGGGCGCTGACGTGGAGCTTCTTGGGCAGAAGCTTGGTGGCCATTATAACGGCGCCGGGAAACATGGGTCCTAGGAAAAAGCCGAGCAGAGCGACGGCGACGGCCGAGACGACAAAGTTGGGCACGAGCCAAAACACCAGCTCCAGGGCGACGCACGCGACCAAGTAGAGCGAGATACAGAGGCGCTCGCCGAACCGGTCCGTCACGAAGCCCAGCAGGGCGCGGCCCAGCGCCATGCCCGCCCAGAAGCCCGAGCCGGATATTCCCGCGTCGTACGGCGAGGCATTTCGGACGCGGAGCATGAAGGTGACGATCCAGCCGCCGAGGCCGACTACAAAAGGGTCAGCAACCAATTGGCACAGGAGTGGCTGCTTATTGGCCGAAAGAACAAGCCAAAATGGAACGGTCGCGTACCTTCGACACCCATGTAGGAGAAAAAGAAGAGGCAGCAAAGCCAAGTGACCTTGGACCGGAGAGCCTCGCGCGTACCAGCGCCCTTGGACTCAGTGCCGTGCTCGTTCTCATGCGAGGCGCGGTAAACGGCCCCAGTCTTTTTCCAGAAGAGGACGGTCAGGCCGACCAGCTCGAGGACACAGATGCCGACCTAGAAGAAAAAAGCATTCAGTACTCATCAGTGAACCCAGGCTATGTGCTCACCCCCAAGGGGAAATTCCGACGCAGTCATACCATTAAATAATAGTAAGTATACCAGGGCAGATTATAAGTGACAATCATCGACGTGGCAATCAGGGGCGCAAACAATGCCCCGAGCCTATCAAGCAAGCAACACCCATCGTCAGCAGTCTCCTTCGGCACATGACCGCGGCGGCGAACTCACGAGTACATGGAGTGCAGGATGCCCTGCAGGGCGTTTGCGTTCTGCATGACGCCGAGCCAGGCGCAGAAGCAGGCGTCGAGCAGGCCGTTGCCGAAGCCCGAGATCATATTGGCGACGACCAGGACCGGGTACGGCGGGTGCGCGGCCAGCACGGCGTAGGTGACGATGTGGCACAGCGGCGCCATGACGGCGACGCCGCGCTGGCCGAGCACCATGTGAATGCGCGCGTTGGTGAAGGACGCGAGCGAGTAGCCGACAAATGGCGTCAGGAAGATGAGCGACACGGTGGTATAGGACAGGTCGTAGTAGCGCTCGAGCTGTGGGGGTGTTGTCTGTGCGTGAGCAGGTCGACCTAGGGATTTGTAACCCTATCAGATGGGAGGGGTAAATGGCGTACGTAGGGGAGCAGGGCCCCGACCACGCCGTCGTTGAGGCCAGCGATGGCAAAAGACAGAAACACGAATGCCAGGCGCCCCATGTTGCCCCGGGGCATATTCCATTTCTCGGCGGCCGGTTCGGTGTTGGCCGGGGTTGCTGGCGCTGACCCGACCCCGCATTCAGCCTCGGTCGCCACTGGCGATTCTTGCTTCCCCGTACCGGTCGCATCCGGCTCCTTTTTCTCGTCGTCTCGCGGCGATGCTCGGCCCTGGGCAGCCGTGTTGTCCTGCAGTGCGCTCATGTGGCTACCCTTGCTGAGACGCCGGCTGAGCTTCTCATCGTCGACGGGCTGCGCCTCGACGACATGGACCTTGGGGCTGGGGGGTCGCTCTGACTCGGGCATGGCCGCTTTTGTCAGGTCATTCGTCTGGAAACGTTTGTTTTGCCTGACACTGCCCGGCGCTGGCGCAAAATGACCGAGACAATCCGCTATGTGACAGCGCTTTTTTTTTTTGCTATAAAATGCTGAAGCGGTGGACAGTCAAAGGACTGGGAAGGTTCACTTTTGACTTGGGCGATGACCGAACGATCCACTTCATTGCTACCAAATCTTGATTGGCGGCGACGGGCCATGCCCGAATATTTGCCAACCATGCGCAATGCCCAGATCGGACTTGCCACATTCGGCCGTGCCGCCAGCAGGTAAGGCTAGGCATGGCCAAAAGGTAGGTACCTACCCACCTATGTACTAGGTAGGTAGGTAAATACTAGCTTCTAATAAGCTTAGCTTCTAATGCCCGTAGCGAGGTGTTCCAGGTGGGAGCGCTCTGGAGAAGAATTAGTGGCTACCATTTGCTGTCGTCAAACGAAGCCGGTGAGGGCAAAGTGAGGCAACTGTGGTTGTTGGTTCGAGGACTGGTCATGCCTTGGGCCACCGGCCCATTTTCCGGCCACCCACAAGGCAGCGAGGCAGACTACACGCAAGCCACCCTCCTACCAGCATTTCCCCACGTGTGAAGAATTCGCTGGCTCGACCGATGCGCGCCCTACTTCTTCCCGCCGCTTCCTCCACCTATAAACACAACACGCAGCGACACATTCGACCCATGACTACGGGCCAGACAACCCCAGCTTTTCTTTTTTACCCCCCAACCCAGGCCTGGTCTTTTATTCCTTGGCCGCTTCTTCGCCGCAGGCCGTACTTCCCAGCCTGCAGCCCAATAGAAGGTCGGTCGCACCAAGCGCGCCCGGCCAGCAATGCCGTCCCCTCAAAAGCCCCGAGGGGAACGGAGCCTCGGAGGTCTCATCTTATGGCTCCCTGCGTACAACAAAATCAAGAGCGAGGAGCGTCCTACGAGTTATGACGGTGCACAGCTCTCCAGGGCGGCGCATAACCACCCGGTTGTCGTCCTGTCCTCAAAGCAGGACCAAGACGGAGTCGTGGTGGTGCTCCTGGTATGTTGGAGACTTTACCGAGCGATATCATCCACCTCGTCTTTGCTTCTCTCTCCCCTTTATGGCATGATTTCTTTTATGTAGCCCGAAAATTTGCCCTTTTTCCTGGGCCGGTACTGACGAGAATTTCCAGATGACCACTTTCGGTGGGAAAACTTTGCAAGAGTACGCCGGCGAGAGAAGCTCGATATCACATCGCGAAAAATTAGCTTCGAAACATATTCCTATACATCCATCGCCCACCCACGGGCCCCATCATATCACACTTCAAGCATGTGGAGGGTCCGACAGGCTAGCACGGAACAGTTACGTCATCACCCAACCGCTGGTGAGAGTCAAGTTCACCGTGCTGGTGGAGTACGGCGACGTAATCGGAGGCACATGGGCCAAGAGGTTGGACACCAGCTCTCACCACCGGCTACTGAGGCACGCCCAGTTTATGGAGCCTGTGGCAGGCATGCAGGCTGTCCAAAGGTCTCTTGGCACTGCATCGTCCACTGGGACAAGGGGAGTCCGTCGGGAGGAGGAGGCTATCACACTGGGCCCTCCTGTGGCTTGGAATCCTCTCGCCAAGGCTGCAGTGGTAAAGGCGGTGGGCAGAGTTGCCCCCATCCAGCAGAGCTTCGAGTTCAGAGTCGAGAATGGCTCCTCCTCCAACCTCTTCAGCCCAAGCCGCCCTCGCCAGCCCGAGGCCCCTCGCAACCACAGCGGGCCCATCCACAGCGATCGCCTTCTTATCTCGGCTGCGGCCAGACAGGCACCCCTCAATTTCGGACACCATCACCACTACGGCAGCATCGCCCCGCAGAGTTCGGAGCGGAGCCCGACAGCCTTACCCTCTAGTTGGGTCACTGTTGATATACCTGCCGCCCCCCTGGTCCCCGCCAGGAGGTCCACGCCATCTGTGCAGGTCGAGCGATATCCAACCACCACATTGCTGCCAACCTACTCACACCCCCCACGCAGCCATCACCCCGACACCCAAGACCCGCGTTGCAATGCTATTTCAGTGGTGCTGCTCGTTGCAGTGTTGGTTCTGGTTACATACGCTAATTTCCCTGACTCCTAAGCCGCTGTATCAACAACACAGAGCTGTACTGTTAGCCTACCAACTCGTCTGCATGTTATTTCAACCTTTGTATAAGCAAAGGACCTCCTTCCTTCTTATAATTAGTTGTTGCCAGTTGTTTTTAAATAAAGTTCCTTCGGAGCCGTTACTTGAAAATTTTCACGTAAATGAACGCAACTGCATACAAAATGAAGTAAAAGGTAATATAGTTTAATGTACAGCTGTCACAAAAGAGGCTATCACCCAGGGCCGGCACGCTGTTCTAGGCCTTGGCACGGAAGATCTGCACGGGTGTTATGCCCAGGTTGTGGGGATTCTCGGGGCGCACTTGGATCGCCGACTGCTTGTGGGCCTCCTTGGTCGGCGCTAGGAACAGCAGCTTCACCGCCGGGTCGGCCTCCTTCGCCGACTGATCATTGAGTGTGATCGGAGTGATTGCTGATGCCCCAAGCATGTTCGGAGAGTGGGCCGACGGGCAAGCGTGTGAAACGAGCTCTAGGCCCGCAGCCTTGCGGAAATTGATGTCGGTCTTGAGGCGGCTGATGACCATGGCCACCTCTTCCTCCTCGTCGTCGCCCTGGGTTTCGGCGACCACGTTGTTTATGGCAGCTTGCAGGCGCTGCCGCTTGTTCGCCGAGGCAAGCGGAGTCTCCTCGTATGCGGCACGCTTGCCGCCACTCCGAGAGCCGGTGGGGGCAATGCTGATGGCCTTCTGCTTGGCCGGCGTGCCCAGGGTGTCTCGCTTGCCTGCCATTGTGGACGCGCACTCTGAGTCCGACTCTGGGTCTGAGTAATATGCGAGCGCGTCTTCGTCCTCGTCGGGGGCTTCTGGTACCGGCTCGGGCTTAGTGATTGACGGCTCGTATGGTGAATGTATTCGTATCTTACCCGGTACCTACCTTAATCACCAGGCTGTGTCTACCACACCAGTCAGGCTGTGTTTACCATACCAGCCAGGTTGTGCTTACCAGGCCAGCCTTGCCTATTACCTGGGCCTAACAACGGGCACCCGGTGCTGCGCCAGGCGGATGCTTACCGGGCACCCGCCGGCATCAACAGGGGTGCGGTAGTGGGTACCGCGCCTGCAAGAGAGGGATATCACGGTAGGTAAAAGGGCGCGAGGGCCCAGGCCGCGTGCCACCCCTTTCTTCCTTCTCTTTAGAAATCTAGATAAGCCTACAATAGATCCTATCTTGCACCGTTAGTCCGCCATACGTCTTAATGTATTTCACCTGTATATGGCCAGCCATTTTGAGGCCGCCGTTGCCACGAGGAGACTCTCTCCAGACGCTTCCCGTGGCGCTCCACAAACTTCCTCCATTATCACCACCGCTTCGCGAGTTCGCCCCTGCCCCTGTAGAGTTCGTGCAAGTTCATGCATAACTTCCAGCGTCATCACCTCCTTCTCCCCACACGTCCTTTTCACCTGTTCAAGAATCTGCAGTTGCAAGGTTTCTGCTTTTTCCCACAGCTCCTGGTGTTGATAAGCCCACGAAAGGCGCACAAGGGTTTCCAATGTGTGGGGGTGCTCTTCCCCTAACACTTTGGCTTGCTTTTCTGCAGTTTGAGCAAGCGATAGCTCCGCCTCCTTGTATCGCCTCTCGAGCAGTAGCCCAACACCAAGATCAAACATGGATGTAAATGTGGCTCGGTGCTCCTCACCCAGAGTCCTTCGATTCCCTTCCAATACCTGAACACCTAGTGCATTTGCCTCCTTGTGCTCACCCAGCGAGCGCATCGCGCGACAGTCGTTTCTTGGCGATCAAGGTAAGCTCATGATCTTCCCCGAACAACTTTTTTGCTCTCTTCAACGCTTCGTTTCCCAACGCCTTCGCTTCCACCAGTCGCCCCTGGCTCCTTTTTGTTTCGGAAAGGTTGCCCATTGTCTCCACAGTAAAGCTGTTATCCCTGCCGAGCAAGACTTCTGCTGCTATGAGCAAATCTTTCCACAGTTCTGCAGCTTTGGAAAGCTTGTCCTGCAAGTGATATGCCATCCCCAGCCTCTGCATTACCTTCATCGTTTCTAAATGCTCTTTTCCCCACAATCTTTCGCGGATTTGGAGTGACTCTTCCAGAAAACTCTGGGCAATCTCGCCGCGATATTCTTGCAGCCTCAGCCCAGCAATATTGTAGAGGAGGAGTGCCCTTGCGGTCCCCGATTCCTCGGTCTCTTGGATCTGCGGCTTGAGCACTGCAGAGGCGTGCGGGGCAAGGCAGAGACATTCATCTTTGTTCTCAAACTGCATGCCGTCGGGATAGCTTTGACTGGCCACGACAAGAGCATGCGTTGCGAACTCGGATGCGATGCCCTCGTTCTCCAGCCACATTCGCGTGGCCAGTTGTACGAGGCGGTGCATATCCACAGTGCCATCGTTGTTCTCGCTCACGAGAGAGAATGCTTTCAGCACGCTGAGCGAAGGCTCGAGGGCACTCTCCACGGCGACGAGAGGCTGGGTCGTCCGTCCATGGCGGTCGCCTTCGGAGTGCTCCGCTTCCAAGCTGGCCTTGAGCTGAACAGGGCTAGTTCTAGATGCGAAAACCGAGCGTAAGGCCATAAACGCCTTGGCTGCTCGGCGCGACCGGGAGCCGGCTTTCCGGTCCAAGTTTTGCTGCTGTTTCCCCTCGTGGTTGCTGCGGCTTGACTGCTATTGCACATCATTGTCGTAGTTCGTATGTTCGTCCGCGACGCCGCCGAGCTCTTGTCTCTGTTGCTCCTCATACATAGATAACAGCTGCCTTGGGATTGCCTGTCGATCGAAGAAGCTCATAAGGGACAGCAATTTGCTGGCAAAGGGATTCTGCTTCTGAATCTGCCTGAAGGTGAGGATCCAGGTTTTCATGACCGCCCGAGGGGTTTCCGACTCCCTGTCAATGGCTTCGAATTCTTTGCTGAGGATGTCAACGAGGCTGTCGTCACTCTCGTCGAGTATGGCGATATACTGCCTGACAGAGCTAGTCTGCGCATTCATGTAGGCGGCTGCTTGGACCAGCGGCCAGGGGCAGGCCACCAAGTCGGAACGAGAGCGTCGAGAGATCTGCGGGGTCGAGGCTTCCGTTGTCGAGCTTCGACTTGAGGAGCTCCAGCGAGTTCTGAGCCTCCATAGCCTCCACCTCAATCGACCTCTTTCCCCCTAGGAGCATGCTCCCGGCCTCCTTGTTCCTGGTGGTAATAGGACGGAGCCGTTGGAGCAGACCGGGATGTACATCCCGACCCCTCCACCCGACTCACGGAATAACACCTGCGCATCGTCTGCGTTGTCAACGACCATAAGCCACCGGCCGGCTTTCTCGCTCGCGAGCCAGTCCTTGACCAAAGACAGCGCGTTGCCGGAGTCTTCGGGGCCGTCGCGCCTTGAGATCTTGCATTGCTGAGCAATGTCTAGGTATGACTTGCGAAACCGTTCGGCGGTGCCGTCGTGGGCCCAGAAGATCCCCACGTCTGGGAGGGCGGCTCGGAGTTGGAATAGGTATGCAACGGCGATTTGCGTTTTCCTGGTGGTGTCGCGTAAGCATCACACAACCGTCACCTGGAAACAAAGGGGAAATGGGCTCAAAGACCTACCCGACGCCGCCTAGGCCGTGGATGCATGCTCTTAGATGGGCGTGGTTCTTCTCAGGGGCCTTTCCCGCATGCCCGAGCTTGGCTGCCAGTTCCTTCAGAATGTCCGAACGGCCGATGAAGTCGGGATTCTGGCAGTATGGAACAATGAACGGTGCGGTGACTTCATGGGAACGACCGATCTTCTCTACAAGGTGGGCAAGTACGATTTATTAGCAACAGGGAGCTAGGTATTCAGCTACAACATGCCTAAGCCTGGGCGGTAAATATCTGAATACATGGAAACTCGAGATTTGAAGACTAACCAGACTCTTCTTTTGCGCGCAGCTCACCCGCCGGGATCGTGCAGAGGAGCTGGCGAGCAAAGGCGGCGGCGTGACCCGCCGCACACTGCTTCCACTCGTCGTTTTTGTGCGAGTCTGCATAGTTGGATATCCCGCGAATGATCAAGCACTTCCTGTTGATCTCCACGCCGGCTGCCACCATGTCGACACACCGCGCAAAGCCGTCGCAAAGCTCGCGGATCCTTTCCCTCTCCTCCCCGTCTCGAATCACTTGATCTCCTATAGCAACCATTCCTCTGTGGAACACAAGCGTCTCCCGATCCTCGTCTTGACGTGGGGGACGCTTGACTAGCTCGAGCCCGTGACATTTATCGCAGTCACCCCAGTCCCCCTGGTGGTGATTATCGGATTTGAACAGCTTGTCGGAGTCGGGCGGAGGCAGTCGGAATTTGTGGCCATGCCTTTTGTTATCTCGTAGTCGTTTGAGCTGCTCCGAAAGCCGTGCTCGCACCTCCTCAGGGTCGAACTCGTAGTCTGAGATAAGTACGTCCAGCCCACTCAAAGCCCGACGATCAGGATATTCCATCCGGCCCTTATCGAGGACCTCTCGACCTCCTGGCTTGAACCTTCCATACGCATAATAGATAGAAGGGGGATTCCCAGAAAGCGGATATCCGACGACAACATCTCCGAGGTGAATGTCTTGCAGGGGGTTGGCATGGGGCGGACTTGATGGAATACCGCCTCCGATCCCGACAAGCAAGGTGATGCGAATTGCGGGGAAGGTCCGGAAAAGCTGGCTTGCGAGATGGCCAGAGTTGACATTGCCTTTCTTGGAATCGAGGAGAGTGGCTAGAACGACGTTGTGGCGGTTGATCTCCCCGAAAAGATAAGTGTATTCGTTGTATTCTGTGTCGTAGCCCGGTGCGAGGTGATCGACATCAAGCATCAAGCGCGCGGGGAGGAGTTCGATATCCCGGACAGCACAAATCCATGCGACGTGGTAGTCTTGCACAGTCAGTCGCTTCCGATCCTGCGCGGCCATCTCGACATGGTGCACGAACGGGAATTCGGGCTCCGGCAACGAGATTGATGGAACAATGCTACGGTATGCGATAAAAAGACGGAGGGGCTAGGAGAAAGGCAAGAAGCACGACAATGAGCAACGGAGGGAGAAAAGAGTGAACGGCGTAAAGTAGGAAAGGCTGGGCAAGTTCAGTCGCAGATTTGAAGGCATCCATGGATATGGTGGGGCAGGGCCTGGTGCTGGCTGCCTGCGCAGGCATATGGGTCCACAAGGGCCCCCTGGGGGACTTGGCGGAGGCTGGCGGTTGCATGCGTCTGTCCGCAGGCTGCATGCTCCGGTGCCCGACTGCAGTTCTTGTGGCAGTGCGCGTGGAGGAGGCAGCGCGAGGCGTATTTGAAGTGCCTGGGAAAAGTGAGCGCAATGTGGCGAGTCTGGGGCCTTGCCATTCAGGGCCTGCATAATCGGATAAAGCCCAAAAGCGCCCAAGAAACGAGGGGAGCTGACAACCGGGCTATCTCCATCGTCGCCTGCCCGCCATCAGGTCAACCTTCCAATTAGCAAATGTCAGAAGGACCCGGCAGCCCAGGCTCTGGAGCACAGTCGAACCGGGCCGGGCTTTTTCGCAAGATTTGGCCCGTCGCAACCAACGACAGCAACCTAACGCTGCACGGCTTCCGGCGGTTCAAGACCTCTCACCTTTTGAACCTGCGCTTCCTAGAGGAGGAAATTGCCGAGCTAGATCATCGCCTCTACCAGGCAGGCCTTTCCCTGCAGATCGAGCCTTCAGTCACGGATAGGCTGGGACTCAAGCACTGCAAGCGAGACGCCCAAGTGCCAGATCCCGCCGAGGTGATCAGCCAAGAGACGGTGGAGGCTCTGCGGAATCTTTTGAAGCAATATGGCGAGTCCTCTTCCTGATGCCATCCCGCTGTTAGATCTGGCTTCTAACCCGTCGCCTGCGGGGGGAACAGACGATGCGCTCATTGCGTTCAACCAGATCATGTCCATGGAAACCTTTTCGCTCATCGACGACGAAAAGCAGGCCAGCCTCAGGACGGATCTGACGCTGAAGGAGGTCTACAAAACCAGGCTTCTCAGGGCAGATCTCCCGCCACGGTCCCGTACGGACCCGTTCCAGAGGCAGTTCCACAAGATCCTTCGGGCGTTCCGCTACCGACAGATATCCGGGCGCGCTGAGCGAAACCCGGAGGGTCGAGAGCCGCTCGGCCACCCAGGCGGCACCTGGGGCCAGCAGAACACGGCTCTCATCGCTGGTGTTCTGGGACGCGTGGCAACGACCGTGGTCGTGGCCGTCTTTCTCGTGGCTCCAATGGTCGCGTTGGTGTTGGTGGAGGATCGGGTGAGGCAACTGGTCATAAGCTGCGTCTTTATCCTGGCCTTTTCCTTTTTGGTGGCCCTGACGCTGCAGATCTCCAACTTTGAGATGATGGCGATATCTGCGGCCTACGCGGCCGTGCTCTCCACATTCATGTCTTGAACCTGTTGTATTCAGCCAGCAGCAGCGCTCTCACATGGAGTGGCCTCGCTGGCGCTTGGGCATGAACCCTGAGTGGCAGGGCGGCACAGCGGCCAGGCTTGACCTGCGCTGTGGGCGGGGGATATGTGGCTGCATGCGATGGGACACTCGTGCAGCACACTGTAGCCGGGCAAATGTGGCGACGGCCAATGTTTGATGTCACGCAGTCGAACCAATCCAGTGCGCTGCCAAAAGTAAATCCACTGTGCTTTACTCTGTACCAACACTGTTCTTTATGCTGTGTAACATCTGATTGGGCACAGCTCGAGGTTGCCTTGTGTCGGGCGCGGAACGGAAGAAGAAAAAGGAAGAAAAAGAAGGAGTAGTAGAAAATGGAGCCATACCCCGGCCAATGCTTTTACACAAACGGGCAAGGGCTTGGGGGGTTAAGCCGGGCGTATCTCTCGCATCTGTCCAAATATAACATCAAAACGGCGGGTTGCCTTTGCTCAAGCAGTCGAAATGAATCATTGTAGACGAGGGGTCGTCGAGCAATCGTGCCATCCGACATTGTTCTTTTTCCACGCCCACCAGCTTTCCAACATCAGCTACTCCATCACCCGTATGTACAAGCGCCAACCGCACACTCGCTCATCATTTCCCGCCACATCACCTCCTACTCCTTGGCCTGGAACTGGTTGAAAAAGTCCCAAGAGTACTTGGGGGCAAACGCCACGTTGGACCCCTGGTCCGACTGCGAGGGGTTGTGGTCCCCGTTGTGGATGACCCAGGTGACGGGGTACCCCTCCTTGCAGTTCTTGTACTCGACCTTGACGTGCTTCCCGCCGTTGGGCTGCGGCTCGCTGATGGCGGTGCAGCCGTTGTTGCGCACGAAGCGGTCGCGCATGGCGCGCCCGCCCTGCACGTTGAGCACCGAGTCGCTGGTGCCGTGCTGGCCGTAGTAGGCCACGGGCTCGGTCCCGCCCTGGCACCCGGACAGCTGGCTGCCCGACAGCGGCGCGATGGCGCGCACGTCCTTTGGCCGCGCGCACGCCCACGCGAACGAGATGCCGCCGCCGTAGCTGAAGCCCGTGGCGAACCGGAGGCTGGTCTCGATGCAGAGGTCGGCCTCGACGGCCTTGACGATGTTCTCGACAAAGGTGATGTCCTGGCCCCCCTGGTTGGCCCAGCCGTTGCTGATGCCGTTTGGCGACACAAAGATGGCGCTGTTGTTGGACAGCGGCGGCAGGCCGTAGTAGGCGATGGTGCCGCCGCCGCCGTTGGCCACCTGCTGGGCCGTGCCGCCGAGCGCGTGGAAGGTGAAGACGAGCTTGTGCGCCTTGTTGCGGTCGTAGTTGTCGGGTAGCTTGACGATGTACTGCCGCCCGCTGATGGTGGCCGTCGCGCCGTTGCGGATCGTCGGCGTCTTGCCGCAGCCCGCCGACCGCGCCGCGCTGGCGGTGCCGACGAGGAGGATGATGGCTGCTGCCGCGAGGGCGAGGAGGCGGAGTTGGTGCAGCATTTTGGAGGTCTTGGGCTTGAGTCGTCCAAGATGTTTGTTGCGATGGAGGATGAATCCGTCGCTATTCCCAGTTGGGGCAGATGGAAAGAGGTCACTTTACTTTATATCTTCCTCCGTACCGGCTCCGTCGTCGTCATCAACCCCTTTTCTGGGGTTTCTATTCTTGTTTCCTCGCCCACGATACGTATCCTTCCCAACCTGATCCCGGACACATCTCCAATGCCAAGGACAGGCGCCGGCCTGAGATAATTAAAACTTTTCACCCAGTGTTGATGAACTATGCTTGGCGCGTATTGTTCCATATTCGAAGTTGCTAGCACGTAACAGAGCTCATATGCGCGCGACTTGGCTCCAGAGCCCGTGATGATCTCCAGACTGTGGCGCCGCGGCGTCGCGACTTTAACCGGAGCCCCAGATTCGAAAGACCCATGCTCTCCCCGCAGATCTACACGCGGCAGATCGGCAGAGCCTCGTTTGCAAACAAGACCCATAAACGATCAGGGCTTGGGGCTCCGGGGAGGCAGCAGCCAAGATCCATAGCACAAGGCAAATATCGGCGAGGCCAGTGATAGTAGACGGCGCCAACAGACCCGTCGGTAGATGTCTCCCATCATCAATCGCAGACCAAGAAAACCCCGTGTCGTCCCACGTGGGCACAGCCGGGCAGTATAGGCTATTTTGCCAGCCGGCAACCGCTCCTGAGGCTGTGCGACGAATAGCAGGACTGTGGGTTGCGTGGTTTTCCAGAATCCAATCGTTCGAGGCCGGCAGATCCACGCTAGATTTCTAGAAGCTCTCGATCGTAAAGCCCATATGCAGAAGATGGCGTGTAGTGTTCAACCGAGTCACCTCAAAGCTCACATACATTCTCATGGTGACCTCCTGGACGCGGCATCACCAAGGGCAGACCACTCTTTGCCATCCGATCGCACCTCGCCAATGTGCCGCCCTCCCGGCCGAGCGCCAAATAAGCAGCATGTGGCAACGAGATCGCAAAAGCTCTGACGGCCTGGATCAGGCCTTCCCGCGTCGGATCAACTCCAGTCCCCCGCCGGGTACCTGAACAGCCCTCGCGGCTAAAATGGGGTGCAGCACAAACACACGAGCCGCTCCAGCCAGACGCCTCTGTGCCTTGATCCCCGCACGCTTCCCCGCGGCCAGCAGGTGCAATGTAATTGGAGCCGACTCTCGCGTAGGTGCTAGGGGCGATCGGCTCGAGGGAGGCGAAACGGCACCACTGTCAGGCAGAAAGAATATTGCCTGCGGCTGGAGCGGGGAGCGAGTTGGTGCTTTATAAAAATCTTCGCGGGTCACTCCTTCAGCGGTGGCATCCGGGAGTGCCAGGGCAGCCTGCTCACCCTGGCCCCCCTGAACCGCGCGAACTTTGAAGCCATTGGAGCTGTCCCGGACCCAGCCAAGAGACACCCCAGTCAGGATGCGCCTCCTCCCAGCCCTGTGCTACGCCGCCTCGGCCTCCACGGCGGCGGCGGCGGCCTGCACGCCGCGGCCGTGGAGCACATTTGCGCACCACACCATCTTCAAGGCGCCCGCGAAGACGCGGCTTGTGTACCCGCGGCAGGCGGAGCTGTCGGACGGGCGGCTGATCGTGACGGCCAGCTTCTTCGGCGGGCCGTCGCCGGCCTACTTCCCCGTCTTCGAGAGCACCGACGGCGGCGCCACGTGGGCCTACATCTCCAACATCACGGACCAGGTCAACGGTTGGGGCATGCCTGCGCAGCCGGCGCTGCTGGAGCTGACCGAGAAGATCGGCGACTATGACGTGGGAACCGTCCTGGCCTCGGGCAACAGCTGGAGCAACAATGGCACGCGCATCGACGTCTACGCCAGCAGGGACAAGGCGCGCACGTGGGAGTTTGTCAGCCGCGTGACCGAGGGCGGCAGGCCCAACACCACCAACGGCGCCACCCCGGTCTGGGAGCCGTACCTGATGTGAGCAAGCCATTTTTTTAACGATGGTGTGACGGACAGCAAAAAAAAAAAAAAAAAAAATAGAGGGGAACAGAAGCTTACTCTCTCCCTTTACACAGGCTCTACGACCACAAGATCGGCGCATTCTACTCGGACCAACGCGACCCCAAGCACGGGCAGAAGCTGGCGCACCAGACGTCCACGGACCTCAAGACCTGGGGCCCCGTGGTCAACGACGTGGCGTGGCCCGAGTACATGGCGCGGCCGGGCATGACGGTGATCGCGTACGTGCCGCCCATCAAGAAGTACATACTGGTGTACGAGTACCCGATCGGCAACCAGTCGTCGCACGGCTCCCACTACCCGGTGCACTACCGGCTCGCCGACTCCCCGCTGCTCTTCGACGGCGGCGACGACTACCCCATCGTCATCGACGGCAACTTTGCGCCCAACGCGTCGCCGTACGTGGTCTGGACGCCCGAGGGCGGGCCCAACGGGACCATCATCGTGTCCGACGCCGACTACGACGACCTGTACACCAACACGGCCGGCGGCGACCCGGACAGGTGGGTGCGCAACGGGACGCCGCAGCCGGGCGCCTACAGCCGCTCGCTGCACGTCTTCAACGGCCGGCCCGACCGCCTGGCCATCATCGGGGGCGACACCTTTGACGGCGCCGTTCCGGACCTGACGCTGAGTGTTGTCAGCGTCAAGGCGCTGCTCGCCAACAAGACGGACACGCCCCACATCGCGGGGAAGTAAAGATGGAGGAAGCAGCGGGTGTGAGACGGGGTGCTATTTTGGCAGAGAGAGGAGGGTGGTAGAAGAATGTTTAGCAAAGGAGACCGGATGCTTCCACGCCATCTTATGCAACACCCAAAACCTCATTGTGTGCAGGCACGCGTCTCGTTGGCATCGCTCTCTGGGGTTTTGAAAGCCGGTGGTCGAAGAGAAGGGTATCTAGCTAGACTCAAAAGGAAATAAAAGACAAAAGGGCAAGTCTGCCAAAGCCGTTGATAGAGTATTCCGTTCCTGGTATTATCCTGGCCTGCATCATCCAGGCAACCACGCCGCCCACGTGTTCCGTATATAAGCCTCCCTGTTGGGCAGTAAAGTCTGTTCATTAGTATGTTTTTGTTCCTTTTTTTTTGTTCCATTTCCCCTCCCTCAATCCTGCCTCACCCCCGCTTCTATCACCGTCCGCGACCCGTACATGGACGACGGCCGGGTGAGCTCGAGCTCGTCCGACTGAAGCTGCGACTTTTGCCGGGGGTACGACCGACTCTGGCGGCGGTTCCCGGACTTGTCGCCGCTGCCGACGCCGCCCGAAGTAGTCCAGTGGGCGGCCGCCTTGAGCCAGGCGGGCGCATAGCGCGACGCGAGCGGGCGCATGGACGCCATGCAGTTGGTGATGATGTAGGTGCTCGTCTCGATGATGGACCAGCCAACGAGCTCGACCGACGCGACTGGACAGGAGATGGGTTAGCGGATGGTCCATTGGTGGGAGGGAGGGTGGGGAAACTTACGGGTTCGGTCGCCGAATGCAGATGTTTTGAAAAAGGTTGCGGCGCGTAGTATCGAGGCAACCATGCCGCTATTCGAAGAACCACGTCTGCCGTTAGATACGGCACCAAAGAGGTATGTCGGAGTCCAGATCTACAACTTACAAGCTCCCAACCGCAAAAATCAGCACCAGCGCGATCCTCTTGGCGACGGGCAGCTTCAGCTCCCAGACGGTCTGCAACGGCAAGGCGATAACAATGGCGTCCAGGATGATGCCCGGAATGGCCTGGCTGTGAAAGAATGCTTGGACGTCGATGCAGACGCCGCCGGGCAGCGACTTGTCCCACCAAAAGGCGATGGGCCGGCACTGGAAGCAGGCCGTCACAAAAAAGGCCAGCGACGTGGCGACCAGCAGGCCCAGGACGACAAAGGCCAGCGTCCGCATGGGGCCCTTCCAGTTGAGCACGCGCAGGTACAGGAACACGATGGCCATCTTGGGCAGGCACATGGACACAAAGTAGATGAGCTCAAAGGCGAGGATGCACTGCGCCCAGCCGGTCAGCTTGGCCGGCTCGTGCTGCTCGAGGTACTTGACGTGGTGGCCGACGCCGCCGACGCGGGTCATTACTGTTTACGGACAGAAGGGTCTGGTCAGTCTTGTTATGGATCTTCGGCCAGGAAGAGGGCGAGAGAGGACGGGAAGCCAAAAAAAAAAGAAACAAAAAAAAGAAAAGAAAAATCCTACCCAACCCCATAGCACACATGGCCAGGTTCACAACATAGGCGGCCACGAGGAACAGGTCGTCGAGGAACACCACCGACGCGACGGTGAAGTTCTTGGCCCAGAAGCGGAGCGCCATAAACACCGAGGTGAGGACGATGAAGGCGATCGAGATGCCGTCGAGCACGTACCCCTGGCTCTCGGCCAGCCTGTCTGCCGCCGCCCCGACACTCTCCGCCCCTCCCCCTCCGCCCATCAGCGGCAGCATCGTGAACCCTGGGGCCATCTCCCCAGACAGTGGTCGTGCGTGGTGCGTGGTCGATCGGCGGGGGGCTCGTGTGTGAGGAGTGGTTCGATCGGCAGCACGTGACGCGGGCCTTCGTTTTTCGTATGTGAATGGGATGTTGTGGTGTCGACGAACGTGCCAGCGAGAGGGACCTAGCTACCCAGGTAGTTCCCTGCTGTCTATGCGGGAAGGAAAGGCAAGACGCAATACAACGAAAGAAGAAAAAAGCAAACAGAGGTTCGCGATCGACAGGCGGCGGAGCCCATTGCATACATACATAAGCAACGTGGGGAGAAGAGAGGGAGGGAGCAAAAACCCGGTAGCAAAAACAACAACAGGCTACCGGCCCCCCCTGTCGTCTCTATCTTAAATAAAGCCTTGCGAGGAACGAGGCGGCTTGGCAGGACCGCGGTATCTGGCATCTAAGGGCCGACTAGACTGGAAAGCAACGAGGCAGGCTAAGAGAAATGCGCCCCTTATCTAGGGCTAGGAGGTTCCGAGTTCCATACGTCTACCAGGCGATACAAGTTGGGGGGTGTCTACCCGGCCCAGCCTGTTTCGCTTTCTCCTCCTCCCCCCTGTGCCTATCCCCCGAGATCCTCGGCCATGCTTGCGTCAGGGCAGGCCCAATTCCCGGCTTCAGGTTGTTTGTTGGTCATTTCTCTCCACCGCCCCCACCGTCTCTCTCGCTATCCTGGTAGGGGTAGCGTCATGTCGCCATCACTGTCACTTTTCACTGTCGCCATGACAGGTGGCCGTCGCCGAAAGCCTCGCTGACATGCCATGCTGCCCCCCCTCCCTGCGTCTTCTGCGGGAAGGCGACCTTCGTGGTAGCATGTGGAGTTCTGTGTCAGCCCTTAGTGCCTCCACGGGGCTGCAACCTTGACATTTCCCGACTCGCTCGCCAGCCCAAGAGAGAAGGCAGAGAACCAAAGGAATCTCGTTTCGTCCGCCGAGAAAAGCACAACAAGCGAATCTGTAAGGCCGGCCCCATTCCACCACACGGGGCAAGCGGGCCCTCTCGTTTGGCAATGACTCGCGCGCCCGCACCAATGGGCGAGCCATCCAGACGGTCCCAGCCAGCCTGCGGAATTGGTACTATACAGTACCTAAGGGGCCCCGCTCACACGACACGGCGGCGGCCGGGGATGATGCGTCAATAGCGCACCAGCCTAGAACAAATAAGAAGGCGTCGACTGGTCAATTTCAGTGCCAGCTGCGTGGAAGCGAAGGGCCGGAGCCCACTTTTCCGACTCATTCACCATCTCCTTTGCGACTTCGCTACCTTCCTCGAGAAGATTAGCGAACATGGATAGGTAGCCTTGTTGGTCTCAAGTAGGTAACATGACCGCGGAAGAACGAGAAGAGGAGACCAACCGACAATGTCATGGACAATGTCATGTCGCAAGAGAGCGAAAGCAAGAGATGGAGAGAGAGAGAGAGAGAGAGAGAGAGAGAGAGAGAGAGAGAGAGAGAGAGAGAGAGAGAGAGAGAGAGAGAGAGAGAGAGAGAAGAAGAAGAAG